CCAGGCTCTGAGCTGGCAGTCAGCACAGAGCCCGACGCGGGGCTCGAACCCACGAACCGCGAGATCATGACCTAAGCGAAAGTCGGACGCTTAACCGACTAAGCCCCCCAGGCGCCCCCATGACGGTACTTTTAATTTGAGGTAGGTTTGTTCACTTTGACTGTGAGTCAGTTTTTAATATTAGGAATTCTAATCTGTCATTATCTTGTGGTTTCTCACTGAGGAAAAATGGTTGGATATGTCTTCTCCACCTGAAAATCGTAAAACATTCATACACACATACACACACGTGTGTAAGTGTGCACAGGCACACCATACACACACACACGTACTGATATGATTCTTATGTATATATCTCATATCCACCTGCATTTTTCTTCACATACAAAGTAGCTCTTGAAATAAGTCCCCCTCTTCTATACATGTAAAATGCTACCGTCCTCAGAAATGACTCAGAGGTGTTCAAAATCGTAAGAGCTTTGATTTCTCAATTCAACTAACCAGAAAAGAAAAAGGAAACAAAACCCCAAAGGCCCCCAAATGAAATTAGTCAGTTTACCTTTCCTGATAATAAAAAATGATTAATCTGCAAATGTAGTATCTCAAATATTAATACAAAAGCTGATTTAAAAATGCAGTAAATTGGGTTCAGTAATAACGTGAAACTTCCTGGTCATCTATAGGAATTCTGGCCGTTGTCTGCACGTGGACGGGGTCTGACCGACCGACGGACAGGGGCTGACTGTCCTCATCAGTCAGCACAAGCGCAGAGTGTGCGCTAACGCCGGGCAGGTGTGCTCGGGAATGCTCCGTGTGCTAACGCCGGGGCAGGACTTCAATTATATTCTAAATACAACGTAAGAACCATCAGTTTTGACTCACAGCGAAAGTTTGCTTCCCGGCCTGCTTCACAGTCTGCTCCGTTTCTGGTAACGGACCACACATACCAGGGCAAGCGGACACAAACCATCCTCACAGCGCCAGAGCGTCCCTGGTGCTCGGGGCAGGTCCCCAGGGGCCACAGGCGGTGGGCACAGGCGTGAGGTGAGTGGTAGGTTAGCGCTCTGCAGGGCGCGGGGCCGCTAATCTGAGGGTCTCCGGCCACCCCTCCTCTAGGGACCCCGTGTGTTCCGTGGGCCACTTTCATTTCCTGTGATGCCTGCTGGTCTCCAGGCGTGTCATCCTGCTGCCCGCGGGCAGACACACGCGCTCTGGGCGTGGGGCTACAGCTACTTTCATTTCAAACCCGTGGGGAGTCACCTCTGTGACATTCGGCACCTTCCTTCTCTGGGTCGGGGCTCTGAGTAAGTGGTTGAGCTTTTGAGATGTCACTTAAAATGGCAAGAAATGAATCACAGTGAAATCTATAAAATCCGAAACAAATGTAAAACAGGCTAAGATGCTGACAGGCAGTAACAGCAATCACTTAATGGACGTGCCTCCCAGTAACGGAACTTGTGCAGAAGACTGACTCACGGGGTCCCCGTGGACGTGGGAAATCGGCAGAGGGCTCCTGTCCGGCACAGAACCCCGTGCTCGCCTCACCACCCTGCCCTCCCTGTTTCGTTGCCTCCAGGGCCGGGCCAGCTTGGGGGAGAGAATAATTTGCACACTTACACACAGAACTGAGCTCAGTGGCCCAACACTTGCTGGAAGGCTGGATCAGGGGACAGATTATGCGGGAGAACAGACCAACTGTCGTGTTACCTCCGTGGCGGTGTGGACGGCGCCGTGGAGGCCTGAGGGTGAGGCTGGGCTGAGTCTGGAAGCGGATGAGCAGCTGGGCACCGCCGTTTACTCATTTCCCCAACGTCGACCGGGCTGGACGGGCGTCAGGCACCCCAGAACCATGTGCACGTGGGCGCCCAGCTTGACTTCCACCTGTGGACGGTCTGTACCTGGACTGTGGCGTCAGGCGGCCTTGGCCTCTTCATGACTCTTGGGTTTTGGGGGGAGTGTTGACTGTATTGGGTCTGGGTGTGGGCTGTACAAATGTAACTCCTACGCCATCTTCTGAACACTGTCGCGGGGGCACCCGGTCCCAGACCCCGGGCATCTCCACCGTGGGAGAAGGAGGCGGCCTCAGGTCCCGAGGACAATCCAGCATGGACACGCAGGGGGCCGGCAAGGCAAAGGGGAGGAAACTCCTTAACGTGAAAATAAAGGTCATAACTCTGAACACGACCTGATTCCTGCTCACCATTAAAACACAGCCGGCTTTTCCTTTTCTTTCCCGTGGTTTGCTTTAAACGTACACAATCGTGGTATGAGTCACAAACTCTGAATGTCAGCCCCGGTCGGTGGCCATGTGCCCAGTGGTTCACGGCCCCCAGACCACGCGAAACTGTCAGCAGCCTGAGCCCCCAGCCCTGCTAAGCACAGCGGTCACCCGTGTGAGTCCTGATACTTTGTAATTGTCCAGCGTGACCCGAAGCTCACACGGAAAAGGCCAGTGGGCGCCCTGCCTGCTGGGGCGGCCGGTCAGGTTTGCGCCCGGCTTCTCGGCTTCCTACGTCCTGAGGACAACTGCCCAGTAACGCCGCCGCCTGACTGCGTCTTCGCTCCCGCTCGCCTCCCTTCCCCGCTGTCCCCCCAGCACACCAGCGCTCGCCCCGGGGTGGCTCCGCTCCCCGTCGGTCCCTGACAAACCCGACCATCTCTGTGTAAGGCAGAGGGGAGGCCTGCGTGCAGTGAGACAGACCGCGGTGTCTGCCTCACCCCACTTCCCGCCTGGCATCCCCAGCTCCGGCACTGACTTCACCTGAACAAGGTAACAAAGACGTGGTTTGCGCTGCTGACGTGTAAGATGCGGGTGCAATTTAAAATCTGAGCGTGCGTCCTGCACGCTAACGAGAATGACAAACTGCAGGTGTGGGGGGCGTCACACCGCTGTTTTGCTGGCCACCGCGTGCGCCAGGCACGGGCAGGGAGGACACAGAAGCCGCATCTCGGTCTGGGGCTCTGTCCTCATGCTCATGGGTCATGGTGAACGACTCTGCAGCGCCGGCAAGGCGCAAAGAAGTGGGTCCCCTGGTGCCGACGCTTCACGTGGAGGGGGCGGGGCCAGACAGCGGAGCCTTGAAGAACACAGGTCGGCACTGCGTGGGTCCACTTCTACGTGGACTTTTCTCAATAGACACAGTGCAGCACTGCACATGTATTTTCTCTTGCTTAGGATTTTCTTTTTAAATTTTTAAATGTTTATTTTTGAGAGACAGTGTGAGCGGGGGGCGGGTCAGAGACAGGGAGACACAGAATCCAAAGCAGCTCCAGGCTCTGAGCTGTCAGCACAGAGCCCAACACAGGGCTCAAACCCATGAGCCGTGAGATCATGACCTGAGACGAAGTCACATGCCTAACTGACTGAGCCATCCAGGCGCCCTGCTTAAGATTTTCTTAATAACATTTTCCTCTAGCGTATTTTATTATAGGAACACAGGATATTCTACATACAGCATACAAGTTATGTGTTAATCAACCCTTTATGTCATGGGTAAGGCTTCCAGTCAACAGTAGGCTATTCATAGTTAGGCTTTGGGGGGAGTCAAACGTCGTACGCAGACTTTCGACTGTCAAGGGGTCAGTGAATCCCAAAGCCTGTGTCGCCCAAGGGTCACGCGTGCATCCAAACTTAGCTGGTGCTGAGGGCCACCTTTTCACAGTTCATGGGAACACCTATTTCCCAGGGAGTTTCCCTGCTTCTGGGTTAGAGACTAGTTACACTTATCAGCCATCTGTCTTTGGACAGGATCAGGAGGCACGTGCCATTGGACTTGCAAGAGGAATCCATGTCCTGTCCCCTCCCTGCCACCGGAACCGCTGCCTACAAACGCGCTTATAAAGCTTCAGCAACAGCGCAGGCCCTGTCGCGATTTCACACAGACACACACGTCCACGCACACACACCTCTGGGAATCCAACCGCCATCACCTGAGGACGCAGGGCGGCCGTGACTGGCTCTACGATTCACTGACGTGGAAATCACCCAGATAAATAGCCAGACGTCTGTTTTTTTAAAAAAAGCACAACATGTTTCTAAAGGTCTTGAAAACCAGCGGCCATCGATCTGACATCTGCAACTCAGGAACGTGAGGCGGCCACGGGGGACAGAGCAGCGGGGGCGGCTTACGTTTGGAGATCGGCCAGCGGCCTCGGTCCGACGGGCTTGAGCAGGGGGTCCGGCCGCATGGCCGCCGTGGGGGACGTCTTGGGGCTGGAGTCGGACTCGGCGCTCTCCTCGTCGCCCATGGCTTTGATGTAGCTCCCGCTCCTCATTCTCCGGCAGGGTATCTCCTGGTCCTTGCCCCCCGGGGGGCACCCCCCCCACTCGTCCTGGGGCACCTAGGGGAGAAGAGACACCGCACGGTCAGGGGCTCGTCGCGGGGCGCAGGTGCTCTGCGGTTCCCGGAAGACACGCTCCTTGCGGCCACTTGTCACTGGGAGTGGGGCTGTCACTCAAACTCTAGGGACATTAGCGGACGGTCGTTGTTTTCCTCATTAAAAAGCTGATGGACAAACAGGGAAAAAGTGAGAGAACAGGAGGGACGGTGGAGGAGAGACAGGCACCTAGAAAGCAACACTGCTTACGATTCTGATTTACCTCCTGGTACAAAAGGGAATCACGCTGAGCAGACTGGGGGCACAGCGGTCTCCGGGCCGGGGACGGGGTGGGGGGGGCGGGTGAGGCTGGAGGTCAAGGGGCATCGGGCGGGCGGGATTCCCGCGCTCGCTCACAGACCCGACAGGCCCACGCACCGCCAGCTCCAGGCTCCGGGCTCCGCCCCAAGATGGGCGGGGGCAGGGGCACAGGTGGGCACCTCAGAACCCGCCCGCCACACCTGGGACCCAGGCCTCCCTCCGCAAGAGCAGAAGTCCAGACTGACAGTGCCTGCCGCCACCGGCACCTGTCCCTGCAGCCGTCCTGCGTGGCCAGCACCCCGTGGCCAGGACCCCGTGGCTCCCGCACGCCGGCTCGGAGCACCTGTCCCTGCAGCCTCCGTTGGGCCCCAGAGCATCCGTCCTACGTGGCCAGCACCCCGTGGCCAGGACCCCGTGGCTCCCGCACGCCGGCTCGGAGCACCTGTCCCTGCCGCCCCGGGTTGGGCCCCCCAGTGTCCGTCCTACACGGCCACCACCCCGTGCACCTGTCCCTGCTGCGCCGAGTCGGGCGCCCTGAGCATCGTCCCAGAGGCCAGCACCCCGCGGTCCCCGCATGGCGGCTTCGAGCAGCACCTCTTCAGTGGGAGGCGCCTCCTTCAGTTCCTTCAAACACCTGACGGCGGTATCACTCTCGCACACGACTTCTTGCACAGACGGCCTAGGACGGGAGAGCGGCGGGGCCCACAGCTCCTCCGTGAACTCTGCAGGCGTCTGGACAGTCCCGGGGCTGGGGGCGTCCATGGGTCCCATCTGCACGGTCCTGTTTCTAAAACGGCTCAGGCTCGCGGGAGGCTCGTGGACCGGCAGCAGGAGCGGGCGGCGGAGCAGCCCCAGCCGCTGTGATGAGGGGCGGCTCCCGCAGGACAGAAGCCTTCACTCAGCTCTGGCCACATGGCGCTCTGTGGCTGGGGGACCCACACGGGCCAGTCACTGCGGCTGCAAACAGTGCTAGGATGGGTGGCCTCTATGACCTTTCCAGGGAGCATTGCTGAGCTCCTGTAAGTCGGCGCTGTGGGCCGGTCCGCACACGGGTGTAGACGGACATGAGACCGTGTCCGAAGAGCTAGAGGGCGGAAGACCTCGGCCTGTTCGCGCTGTCTGGCCCAGCGAGTGGCTTCCCTGGAGGTGTCTGCAGACTGTCAGATTCAGTGCCGGGACTGGTGAATTAGCCACTAGGTAAAGGAGACACGGACAGCATCCCATAGGAGGCAGCTTCAGTACTTATCACAATCATTCAATGCCTACGGCTCGGCCCCCAAGATAACTGCAGAGGAATATGTATTTAGTCACAGAAAGAGGCTCATGGGGGAGAAAGAAAGCAGTTTTTAAAATACAGTCTGCACTCAACTTTTTTTATACTGTAAAAATAGACATGCCTGCATAATGCCTGGAGACAGAGCTGGGGAATGGGGAGTGGCGTCATCCCGGGAGAGCGACTGTGGGCTCCCCAGTTCTCGTTATTCTGGTATTTTCCAGCTTGCCCACTTGGAGCGTATATTGCTGTTGCAATAGAAAATAAACTTATTTTTAATTTAAGAAAAGATCGGTCCTCAGGGCACCTGAGTGGCTCAGTTGGTTAAATGTCCGACTTCAGCTCATGCCGTGATCTTGCGGTTTTGTGAGTTCGAGCCCCGCATCGGGGTCGCTGCTGTCAGCGACCTGCTTCAGATCCTCTGTCTCCCCTCCCTGCCCCTCCCCTGCTTACACTCTCCCTCCACCCCCTCTAGAAAAATATATAAAAAAATCTTTCTCGTGTGTTACAGCAGCAAACACATGCAGCAGGCGCTCCAGAGCGGCGCGTCCTCAAGCGTCACCCGCCTTTGCGGTCTCCAGTGGGGGGGCAGAGGCGCCCGTCTGCTAACAACACCCCAGCCTCTGCAAACCCACACCAGTGTTGGCTGCGTTTGGTGACCACTGCCCACCAGCACAGGACGAGGGGGGAGGTCTGTCATTTCTGAGTGGGTGTTTCCTTGAGGCGGGCCTTCGGGAGCGTTTCGGAGCCTCTGGTTTTCGCCATAGCGACACCTCAGCACCGTGTGCTACATCACCTTCTCTTCCTTTCAGGTGTTGAAATCAAGGAAGAAAAACAGCATCAGACGCCGCGTGTCCCGCAGGGAAATGCCTTCTTCATTCACTCAACAAGTTTTTTGCTCTAAATGTGTACCAAGTACTTAGTCGCTGGGGATATTGTTGAGAGCAAGACAGCTGGGCTTCGGGAGCCGGGTTTCCGCAGGGCCGGACGGCAGCCCTAAGCGGGGGCCGCCTCCAGGGGCCATCCTGGGGGCCTGGGAGAGTCCTGGCGGTCACACACTGGGAGGGCACCACAGCACCCCAGGGCCAGAGATGCCGGGTTTGGGCAACGCAGGAAGCAGTCCCGCCCAGTGAGGACCTCACTCACGTCCCGTATGATTCTGAATGTCTCTCGTCCCGCCTACACTTACTTAAGCCTCGGTTCTAACCCTGTGTTGTATGTAAATCAGAGGTGTGTGTGTGTGTGTGTGTGTGTGTGCAGTTTTAATGAGCAATAAATTTTTCAGGAATGCAACTAACCGTGTAAATCAAGGGAAGGGAGAACTTTGGTTTGATGTTTCACCAAGAATTTTTTACCACTTCCAAGAACCCCAGAAGGTGGGCGAAGCCCGGTGTGTTTGTAAGTGCCCCCACCCGTCGCACCGGGAGCCTGAATCACGGCGAGTCTTCAGCCAGGAACCTGCTTCCGAGCACTTCAGTCTGAACACTTGCCATTAGAATTCACGCTTTCTGTTCAAAGTGACCCTCCTTTTATTTCTCTGTTATATTAGAGTTCGGGCACGTAAAGACAGACGTATCTCAAGCAGTGTGTGTAGATCATAGTGTAGAAGTTCAGCTTAGAACAGTCAAGGGCACATTATGAAACCTGTTATAAACGAGACACTTGTTTTGATGAGTTCATGAGCCATCGTTTGGGGCAGGGAGCTGTTTGAACAACAACTACATGGATGAGTCCTCAGCATAAGGAGTGTGCAGAGAAGGTGGGAGGTCATCACAATCCGGGGGGGGGGGGCACAGGGTGCGGGAGGTGGTGCACGCGGACCCCGTGCTTGGTCACCAGCCCAGGGAAGACGGCAGGCTCGTGAGCACCCCAAGGCCACCTGCCCTGTGCCGTGTGGTCACATGGAGAGTTCTCAGCTGGAGGCGAGGGGAGGCTTTCCCTCTGGGACATTGGGCAACATCTGGAGACAGGTTTGTGTCTTCAAAATGGTGGCACTGCTGGCGGCCGGTGGGCAGAGGCCAGGCTGCCCCCGCAGGAGAGCGCCGCCCAGCCCGGCGTCGGCCTGCCGTCAGCCGCAGAGAAACTCCGGAGGCCGGGCGTGCGCATCGGGCCAGGTGGCGCGCTGGCGGTGGACCCGGGTCTCGTTAGCGGGGCCGGGGCTGCCTTGTCCCTGGCTTACTCCTGCGTGTCGGTTTTTCCTCTGTGCCGCTGTTCGGCCGCCGAGTTCGTTTTCCTCGGGCCACAGCGGTTCCCGTTTCTTCCCCAAGACCGGGGCAGACGACGGACAGAAGCAAGACGCGGCCCGGGGCCGTGGGCCTCCGGCCGGGCTCCAGCCCCCTGTGAACACGCCGCCCCGAGGGCGGGGCTCAGCACCCCCTCGCTCACTCGGTGAGTGCCCTGGTGCTGCTGCGGCCACCGGCCCGGACACCCTCTCCTGGGAAACCCACGGGCCGGGCCGCGGGAGGCGGGAACAGAGAGGGACCTCACTGCGCGGAGAGGACGTGCCCGATGGGGCTGCGCCAACAGTCGCCTCAGGCCCCTGGGCCTCCCCACTCAGTCACCGCTGCTCGTCACCATAGTGACTCCTGACTGTAAACCTGGATGACGCAGAATGTTCCCTCAGGCCACGGCGCAGGCTCACCCAGTGACCCGCGATCTTCGAGGGGCTTGTACTTCACTGTCGAATCTAACCCCAAACGCCGACCGACATGAGATCAGCCTCAGGGCCGACAAACACTTGAAACCCCAACTTCCTTCCACAAAGAATTCATCTCAACAAACATTTCCTGGAAGCTGGTCACGGCGGCACGGGGCAACTTCAGGTACAAAGGGACCTGGTGCCAGTGGCCTTTCTGTGGGGCTGTCACTCGTTATTCCCACCCCGAGGGCGGCTGTGGGGTGTGCTGTGTGGCTCTGTGGTCCTCAGGACCCTGCCTCCTGGGGTCCCCCCGCCTCACCTCCTGGGACGCAGCACCACCATGGCCCCGTCAAGAAGCCCTCCAGGTGAAGTCTTCCCAGGGGACGCTATCGCTTCCGGACTCGCCAGCCTGGTCACGGGGATTCCGCACGGGGCGGGAGTGACACATGGCTGCCGTAGGGACGGCCACGTGCGTGAGGAGACCTGACCTCCTGGGGGAGTGGGCCAGGAAGCACATGGAAACCCTGCGAGGGGCAGGTGGCGGGGCCGGGGGGAACCAGCCGTTTACACAGAGACGCGGGGGTGACAGAGATGAGCACAGAGTGCTCGTTACCAGGGACGCGGCAGCTCAGCAACTTGTAAAGGCGGCCCAAACAACCGACATTTCTGTGTGGCCACGATGCCCAGCCGTTTCCTAGGGTGATGGGTCACTGGGGACAGCCGTGGGGGGGACTGGCTGTAGGGGTGTTCACGTGACCCCAGCAACCCCACACCGCAGTGCACACACTGATCCTCCCCCGGCACCGTGGTGCACACACACAGACCCTCCCTGTGGTGCACACGCACACGGACCCTCGCCGCGGTGCACACACTGACCTTCCCCACGGTGCACACACACAGACCCTCCCTGTGGTGCACACGCACACGGACCTTCCCCGCGGTGCACACACTGACCTTCCCCACGGTGCACACACACTGACCTTCCCCACGGTGCACACACACTGACCTTCCCCACAGTGCACACACAGAGACCCTCCCTGTGGTGCACATGCACACGGACCTTCCCCGCGGTGCACACACTGACCTTCCCCATGGTGCACACACACTGACCTTCCCCGCGGTGCACACACACGGACCTTCCCCGCGGTGCACACACACGGACCCTCCCCGCGGTGCACACACACGGACCCTCCCCGCGGTGCACACACACGGACCCTCCCCGCGGTGCACACACATGGACCTTCCCCCGCGAGGCGCACACATGGACCCTCCCCGCGGTGCACACACATGGACCTTCCCCCGCGAGGCGCACACATGGACCTTCCCCGCGGGGCGCACACACGGACATTCCCCAGCACCGTGGTGCACACACATTGACCTTCCCCACGGTGCACACACACTGAGGGCATAGTGGCTGAGCTCAGGCTCCTCCCGCCGGCCACACCAGCTGTGCTCCTTCTAGAACTGAAAGGCCTTCGGCATAGCCTGTCGGGATTAGCTTTCCTGAGGAGGGAGGAGTCCCTGGAGAATGCAGGGCCAGGGCGCACCCACCCTCCAGTACGGGATCAGCCTCCCCTTGTTCAGGGGACACCGGGCAGCTTCCTTTCATGGCTCCCAAGGGTCCCTCATAACGTCAGGGGACAGGTGCACCTCTCACCCCACGCGGGGTCCCTGTGACTTACCAGGGCCCGGCCGCCGTGGGGGGGGGGGTCTGCCGTCTCCCAGCCTGCAGCCTGTGGGGCTCACGGGTCACAGCCGGCCGAGCAGGTGAGCATGACCGAGGGCAGGAAGAGGGGCGAGTGTGTGGGAGCCAGGTTAATGCATGGGCGGTGGGCAGCTGCTGGGGAGGGGTCCGGGCGGGCAAGTGCACGGCCCCCGGCCCTTGGTCACAACGGACCTTTCACCTCCGATCCTGTGGAAGCCAATGGCTGGTGCTGAGACCCCTTTCAAATGCCTGACAAAGAAACAATAAAGAGGCTCTCTTTGGAAAGACAGGTGGTGTCTCCAGACCACGTAACAGGTCTAAAAACAAATGCAATTGGGAAACATTGCATTAAATTTTTTTTAATGTTTATTTTTGAGACAGAGAGAGACAGAGCACAAGCAGGGGAGGGTCAGAGAGAGGGAGACACAGAATCCAAAGCAGGCTCCAGGCTCTGAGCTGTCAGCACAGAGCCCGAAGGAGGCGCTCGAACTCAGGGACCGCGAGAACATGACCTGAGCTGAAGTCTGACGCTTAACCGACTGAGCCCCCCAGGTGCCCCGTGGGAAACATGGCATTTTTAAGAAGTACTTTAGTTGCATGCTTGATCTTCCCGCTGAACTTTTATATGGAGGCCGGAGCCCCAGCTCTTGGGGAAGAGGGTTTGAGGTGCCCCCCAGCTGTGTGCAGACGACCCGCACTTCATTCTCCTGCTACTTTTCTCTGATTGTTTTCTCAATGCGAAAATACGGAGGTGTTTCCTGTGTAGATGCCAGACACCGCAGCCACAAAATCCCCAAGGCCGCCGATTCACCAGGAGGCACCCACAGGCTGGGTGAAGACACCCAAGGGAGGAGGAGGGGTGGAAGGGGGAGCCTGGGTGGGGAGGGGCCTCGGAGCCACGTTCCCGCCCGGGGAAGGTAGGTGTACCTGCGTGTCTGCCCTCCCCAGGCACCTCCCGCTTCGCACACCGAGAACTGCCTGAGCTCAGGGCTGCCGTCAGCCCCCAGTCAGTGTGACGTTCATTAAAAGTCTGACCTTAGATGCTTTGTGTGCGGAGGTAGAAGAGAGGAAAGCAAGAGCTGTTTCAGAGAATGAAATGCACCCTGACTTTCCTTCTGCCTATTGTCTGCTTCGACCTCCTCAGGAACACAGAGCCGTCCTCTGGCGTGGACTCGCATCCGCACGGACCAGAGGGAGGTACGCGGCCCCCGCCCGCTGCGCGCCTGCCTAGTTTTCAGGGGGAGCGGGCATGAGCGGAACCTGTAGGCACTCACTCCCCCCTTGTTCTTGTTTGTATCCTGTGGGGTCCGCAGACCAGTGCCTCCTCTTCCCCAGCTGTGGCTGGAAAGAGACCTGGGCTCGCCAGCGTCGTCAGCGCCCCCGTCTGCGGGGAGGCCTGTGTGCACGCTGGACTCGGGTCCCTGATGTCATGCAGGACAGACGGCCTGGGGGACAGGCTTCCCTTGTGAGGTCACCGTCATGTTCACCCGAGTGACCCGCGGTGACAGCAGCAGGGGAGGGCGGGGCAGGGAAGGAAGGCGCTGAGCTGCGTCCTCCAGAGGGCGCCGTCCCCGCCCCGGCTCACCTCTGCTGCTGGTCTGTGGACTGAAACAGGCTTCTTGGGGGCCGGGTCCCCCTCGCCACCCGCCACACATCTGTGTCGGCACCACGTGTTCCGGAGTCTGGAACTTGGGCGGGGCAGCCCCTGTTCACCTTCACCCCTGCGGCAGCGGCTGGGAGGCTCTGGGAGGGTCAGGGGGGGAGCCGAGCAGTGGGACGGATGAGCACAGGCGCACAGGGACCCCAGGAGCCCGGGGGGCAGAGGGGAGGCGCAGCTGCACTGACACCGTGACGCGGCGCACGCGGACCAGGCCGAGGGACCCTGTTCGCCAGAGCTGGTTCCTCCGCAAAACAACACGTGCACGCGCGCGCGCACACACAGGCACACACACACGCACGCACACTGCAAGGGAAGAGGGAGGAAAGGGAGGAGGAACCGGTGAGCTTTTAAGAGACGGATGAACGGGTCCCAGGTAGCTCCTTATCTGGCTCAAGACCCAAACCGTTAGAAAGAAACCGGAGGCCACCGGGCGGGTGGAGTGGTAGGCGCATGTGCGAGGCTGGCACACGACTGGCACCTCCTGATGTCTCATGATGGTATCGCAGTTGTGCTTGTAAAGAAAGAGCCGTATCTTACGGTGCGGACCCTTTGCAGGGGACGCAGGAACGCTGGCCTGGCGTGTGGGGTCCCTTCCATGGGCGAGGGGTGTGGGCGGGACAAGACCCCCCTGAAGGGAGGTGGTGAGCGTAGGGGCGCCCCCCTTATGCTGCTGCCTTTACAGGGTGTTCACAGAGTCCATAATTAAAACAAATTAAAAACAGCAGCTGGTGGACAGAGAAAAGGGTGTTTGGTGAAGGGCAGGAGGGGCCCAGGGTGTGAGGCACCGCGGGGGATGTGTGGCAGGAGACGTGGCCTGGAAAGGGGCAGCTCTCGGAGGCCGCCACCCAGGGGCCCGAACACGGAGCCACAGCATCGCGGGGAAGCGTCCGGAAGACGCACAGAGAAGAGCGGGAGACTGTGCGCCTCCAGCACGGCCAGGGTCTCTCCGCCGTGTTCCCTTAGACGGGCAGGAAGGCCGCACGTTATATGGCCCGGGGGCCTGCTACCCGCCAGCCAAGGTGAAGTCCCTCCCGTGGCACCAGCGGCACCTCACCCCGCTGCCGGCTTGTGACTTGGAGTCAACGTGCCCGTGAAAGCGATCTGGTCAGCGTTTCCTTGCCAGACACAAGCGCTGGCGTTTAGGCAGTGCGCCCGGAGGGCACCTCTGCGGCCGCCTGCCACCCGCCTGCTCTGGGTCCAGCGCCCGGGGTGCGGCCGGCGTCTGCCAGCGGCCCTCATCTAGCGGCCAGGTCTCTCCAGGCGCACCGGGGACCGGGAGGGGAACACACGGGGTGGCGCTGTCAGGACGACCCGCACCTCCTGAGCTCTAAGGGCGCCGCAGGCCGCAAGCCGGGCTGGGAGGCATCTGTAAGGAAGGAGCCCCCCTTAATGGGAAGGGGCCGGCGTGCTGTGAGGGGGAGGCAGGTGGCACGCGGGGGAGGGGTGACACCTGCGCCCCGCCGCCCTCCGCCTGTCCCCCTCCCCCACCGGTGCGTGCCCCCTCCCAGCAGCGCTCTCGGGGCCCAGGCGCACTCCGCTCGGGCGCAGGCCGCCTTCCGGGGAGGGAGCTGGCCGGCGGCTGCGTGGGGGCCTCAGGCCGGGGCGCCCCCTCACCTGCAGGTAGTGGCACGGCCTCGGGGCGGGCTGGGCGTCCGGGGGGGGCGGCGGCCTGTCCAGGCGCAGCGAGCCCTTGCGGACGGCCTCCTTGGCCTGGCTCACCGTCAGCGTGGACCAGGAGCTCCGCTTCAGGTACCCGGCGTCGGGCGTCAGGGTCAGGCCCTCGCAGGCCGAGCACTTGACGTCGCTGTTGCTCTTGGACGTCCTCAGGGACAGGTCCCCGAAGGGGCCGGGCAGCGCGCCGGGGTAGCAGCGGGAGACGGCGCCCACGCGGAGCCGGTCGGCCACGCTGGGCGCGCGGCAGGTGCTGTCGCTGTCCAGGTTGTCGTCGGAGCTCCGCCAGCTGCCGGCGCCCGCGCGGGCCCTGCTCTCGGGCTTGCGCTCCTTGCTTCTACTCCGCTTGCCGTGCCTGGGGTGGTGCGCGTGCAGGGGGTCCTCCGCGCGGCCGTCGCCCTTGGCCCCGTTGACGTGGCCCTTGGCGGGGCCCTCGAGCGAGTGGGACTTGGTGAAGAGCTTCTGCACCGAGTGCACCAGGTGGCGTATCCTGCCCGGGCTCTCGCCGCGCGCGCCCGCGGCCGCCGGCGCCCGCTGGTACTGCAGCGTGTGGAAGCCGTCCCTGCGCGGCGGGCCCTGCTTCTCGAACTGGCCCAGCAGGTTGGCGGGGATGCGGGTGGCCCTGGCGCCGGCGTGCGGCGCCGCACAGTCGTCCCTCGAGTCGTAGTGGGAGCTGTAGTGCATCCTGGGGAAGGTGCTGCTGGACACGTGCTCGCCCAGCACCACGGGCATCACCAGGCACTCCGAGTGCACCGAGCTGCCGGGCGAGCAGCGGTGGTGGTCCAGGGGGCAGCCGTCCACCGGGCTCAGCAGGCAGGGCGGCCTGGCCTCCTGCGCCCGCTGCAGGTGCTCGCAGTCCTCGGGGGCCGCCAGGCCGCAGGTGTGTGCCGAGCACAGCGGGGCGGGCGCCCGGCCCCCCGGCAGCCCCTTCATGTTCCTGGGAGCCGGCGAGTACCTCCCCTCATTGAAGTGCGGCGTCGGGGACCATGAGTACTGCTGGTCTGTTGAGAGAGCACACAAAGCCGCGTCAGCCGCCGTTCTCACGTGTTGCAAAAGTAAATTATTGGACACCCCACCCAGGAACTATTTTATCCCATAATCAGGGCTCATTTTGGGGCACTGGAGAGGGTAAATCACTTTTTCTTATACCACACTGACTGCTCCAAAGTAGGAGACTATTAAGAAGCATTAAGTCTCTGGGTGCCCCGGGGGGCTCAGTGGGTTAAGCGGCCGACTTTGGCTCAGGTCATGATCTCACGGGTTCGTGAGTTCGAGCCCCGCATCGGGCTCTCTGCTGACAGCTCAGAGCCTGGAGCCTGATTCAGATTCTGTGTCTCCCTCTCTCTCTGCCCCTCCCATATTCTCTCCCTCTCTCTCAAAAATAAATAATAAACATTAAAAAAAAAAAAAAAAGAACGTAAACTCTGATATCCCTAAATGTTGGTCTGCAACCACAAGCAAGTCTTGTCTGGGAGATTCATCAGGTCTCTGGGCGGCAAGACTTTGTTCTGTTAAACAAATCAACCATTTAGGAGCAAAATGAGTTACATTTCAGTTACATTTGAGTGTTGTGCTTCAGTTTCAGAAGTGTAAAAAGTCAGATCTGCTATTTAATTAGTAATATTGGTCAGTAGGCTCGTGTGATATGCGCTGATGCAGTGATCCAGAACGGTCTAAAGCCACGTCCCTGCTGCTCAGGGGAGGGGAGGTGGCCTTCTCGAGGCCATCCGTCAAAACGAGGACCAAACCAGCATGTCCTGACCTTTCATTTCAGATACTTGGCTGTGACCTGTAACATTCTGCCCAGGACAGAAAAAGTGGTTTGATTACGTGGGATGCAGTAAGTCGTTAGGGGTCGCCCCCCGGAGGGGCTGGCTTTGTCGTGAGGCAGGCGGCTACGTGCTGCGGACGCGGGTTGGACACTGAGAACCGCTCGGGTTCGGGCCCAGGGCTGCCACCACGTGCTGTGTGAGTCCACGGGTTGGGCGGGCAGCCACGCTCCCTGTGCCTCCGCTTGCTCCGCGTGACAGGGAGACAAGACACTGGCAAAGCGACGGAGGAGGACACTGTGGTGCCGTCCGTTGTCACTGTTGTTATTATTGTAATTATCACCCTTTGAAACGCTCCTGGGTCGGCATCTGCTCCGTGATTGGACTGCAGGAGTCAGTGCTCAGACGCGCCTCTCCTCCACCCCTGCTCCCTATTGACCCAGGGTTTCTGTTTTAGGCCCAATTCAGAGCTTGCTTCTGAAGGTCACCAAACAGAGGCAGCAATAAACTCTGTTATAGTGTATGATGTATATGCATATATCCATATATAATATATACATATTGCATATAATATTCATATGCAGGAAAGAATCTAGTATATAATATGCATATATGGTATGTATAATGCATATATTCATATGATATGCACATATACTAATTTGCATATCATATATGCAGGAAAACAGACTCTAGTATATAATATGCATACACAGTATGTATAATGTTCATATATGTATATAAATGTATGTGTAATATATGCAGGAAATACACTCTCTTAAGGTTTATAATATGCATATATCATGTATATATAATATGTATCCATATATGCTATATAATATATAATATTCATATAATATATGCAAGAAATAGTATAGTGTAAAATATGCATATATGGTATGCATATATAATGCATATATCCATATGTGATATATACAAACAATGTTTAATATGCATAAGATTTATGCAGGAAATAGACCCCAGTATATAATACCCTAGTGTATACAGTGTATATAATGTCCTATCCATTGATCTGTATATAACATGTACGTAATACATGCAGGAAACACAGGCTTTCATGTGCATACATAGGATGCGTATACAAAGCATGTATCCACACATGCACATACGCTATGTAATATGCATGTAACAGGTGCAGGAGACACGGGTTTGGAAGCTGACTCCCACAGGAAACAGGTGGGAGAGGCGTGCGAACAAGCTCCGCAGAGAAGGGGATCCCAGGGCCTCAGCCTCCTCACCCCGCTGGACGGGCACGGACAGCTCTCTGTCCTGGGAAAACGGAGACCAGCCGGCTCCCCGGATGGGCCTGGGCTGCGTCCCTCCCCACAGCCCCTGCCACAGCCGCCGCAGGGGCGTCAGGGTGCAGGGACCCCTGAGGAGGCTGTGTCATGGTGCTCGACCCCGGGGTGGCCAGGCACCTTCTGCTGGCTGCCCTGGGGAGGCTGCCAGCGGCTGGGAAGCCCCGGGGCAGGCCTGCCGGCTCGCCCCCGGGCCGTGCCCTCGGGGCCTGGCACTCGTTGCCGCCTCCTCCCTGCCCCGGCTCAGGCCCCGGGTCCCTGTCACCAGGCCACCGCAGCGGCCACCTCCCTGCCGCCCCGGTCCTCATTCCCGCCCTCGCTTCCCCACGCACAGGCCAGCCGGCTCCTCCCTGCTCCGCCGCTCGCTGGCTTACTGCTGAGTCCTCATTTGTCACCCCGCCCCCAAGCCGCCCCCGGGGTGGCTGGCTCGAGAGACGGCTGTGTGCCAGCCCGGAGCACAGGCTGGAGGCCACGTGCTGACCGGTGGGCCGGCCGGACCCTCACTCCAGCCGCTGGCTGTCGGTGAAGCATGCTGCTCTAACCAAACGGAACGACCCCCGTCTCCAGTCACTGCTCTGCGGGCCCTTCCCAGGCAGCGTGGGTTCCGCACTCCCCGCAGGTCAGACGGCCCCGGGGGAGAGGGTGCCTGCCGCGCGGCGGTCTCGAGGCAGGACGAGGCTCTGGCTTCCGCGGGGCGCCGTGCACCACTTCCCTGGGAGGGGAGCTGTCTGCTGCCCCCCGGCTCCTGCGCGGCCCGGCCCCCTCCCCGGCCACTGCAGCCCCCGTGCAGGCCAGCTAGCCAGCCCCGGCCGCCCGCCCCCACCCCTTCCTTGTGCTGGGAGTGCTTCCTGCTCCTGACCAGAAGCCCCTCACCTGGGAGGCGCCACCTGCCCTGGGGTCAGGGACACCCGGGCCTCAGAGAGCCACCCACCCAACAGCGGACATCAGACAGACGCCGGGGGCGACTGTGGGAAACAGGAAAGGAACGGAAAAGATGCCAGGCTTCTCCCGGATCACTTCTGACCAACCCTCTTGGTGACTGACGTCAGGAAACGTCACCTCTGCCCAACACCTCCCTCTGACTAGTGCCAGACAGGGACTCAGACGTCCCCTGGCAGGCTCTGGACTGTTCCTGCCCGGCCGGCGAGATGCGGACACGCCCGACGAGGCAGGGGCACGATCTCACAGATGCCGAAGGAGTCGGGGCACGGCTCACCCTCCTGGGAGCGACGGGCAGCGGCCGGGCCGGGCCCCTCCCGCACGGCCTCGCGGTGAACGGGACCCCTTGTCTCCAAAGAGAGCCCCACTTCACTGGTGGGAGGGTCTGCCCTGTCCTGCGGGCGCTCCCGGTGCCGGCCTTCCTCAACAGCCAAGTCATAACTAGAGCACTTTAATATATTAGGCGGGCATAGTGTAGATTATATTATATTTTAATATAATTAAGAGCAAGTTTTCAAGGGAAATTCAATATCCAGCTGATAGATAGCAAAACTGTGTGCTGTAATCTAGACTTTACAGCAGCATAAAGTTGTCATCCTATTATCTTTTGCTTTATTTTTCCATTAACATGTAATTTAATACAATTCCAATCTTCCTCTATATTAAAAAGCACGACCATTATTGCTCCACTCACGTATCCTATTTCTGCCTAATGTTTAGCCTAGAAGCTACGTTATGAATGTGGCTACATAAAAGAACAGTACAAAAGATAAAAGTTTAGCTGAAATGAATTAAATTTGATTACGGAACACATCAGTAACACATTCTCATTTCTGCTCTATGGGACTCAGTGCCCTGACGTGTGCATGGAATCTGACGCGCTGCCTCCTAAAACTAATACCACTAATAACAACAAACAAGAAAATAATGTACAGTAAATAACGGCGATTCTAAAACGTGTAATAGGGGCTTGTATTATAGGTTGTTGCTTTTTTTAAGTCTCTGTAACTTAGAATAGATATTTGGGCGCCGGCAGTTTCTCTGGTAAGTGAGGGAACACACAAAATGTGGAAGGCACCTTAGCTCCCTCATTTCCAGCTGCTCACTACACCGTATTTTGTTCTGAAGCAACAGAAAACAGCAGTCTAATCCTCATTATCCATTAACTGTCTCCCCAAATTCAAACTACAGTGTAAAGGCACATTTTACCCTGGGATTTCACAAGGCTGTTGGCGTTCTCATTTGAAAAAGTATGTTTTGAGTGTAGGGATAAAAACTTAAAAAAACCTGCTAACCTGTCTGGCACTATCTCTGCATGTGGGCACGGTGCGCGGGGAGGCCGTGCTTGTCCACATGCAGCACATGTACACGCAGAACTGCACATGCACACACAGACCTGTACACGCATGCAGACCTGCACATGCACACACATGCACACAGAGCTGCACATGCACACAGACCTGTACATGCATGCAGACCTGCACATGCACACACATGCACACAGAGCTGCACATGCACACAGACCTGCACATGCACACACAGTCCTGAACATGCACGTAGAGCTGCACACGCATGCACACAGACCTGTACACGCATGCAGACCTGCACATGCACACACATGCACACAGACCTGCACACACAAGCAGACCTGCACATGCACACACAGTTCTTCACATGCACACAGACCAGTACACGCATGCAGACCTGCACATGCACACACATGCGCACAGACCTGCATACACAAGCAGACCTGCACATGCACACAGAGCTGCACATGCACATAGACCTGCTCACGCATGCACACCTGCACATGCACACACATGCACAGAGTGTGCACATAGCTCCAGATGGCCTGCTGCCAGCACCAGCTGCTGTCAGGTGGGGGAGGGTGCTGGGTGGGGGCCCCACTGACCCTTTCTCAGGCTGCTGGTTGCACACTAAGCCCGGGCCTGAGCCAACCAGGCTGGGCACACACTG